TCCTCACGCAGTGCAGGATACAGCGGGACTTCTTTGCCACAAGGGCACGTGGCTGGCTCATGTTCAGTTTGCGTCCACCAGGACCTTCACATCGTTTTTTGAAAAGCTGCTCTCCAGCCAGTTGGCCCTGCATGTGTACTGGTGCATGGGATTATTGCCCTCCGGGGGCTGGACTCCGCATTTCCTGTTCTTGAACTTCACAAGGTTCCTGTTCACCCATTTCTCCAGCCTGTTGAGATGCCTCTGCATGGCAGCATGACCCTCTGGTGTATCAGCCGGTACTCCAGTTTTGTGTCATTTGCAAACTGGCCGAGAGTCAACTCTGTCCCATCAACCAGGTCATTGATGGAGAGATTAAACAGTACTGCCTCCAGGATCCGCCCCGGGGGGTACTCCACTAATGACTGGCCTCCAGCTGCACTTTGGGCTGCTGATCACAACCCTTTGAGCCTGCCATTTAAGACAATTTTCAGTCCACTTCACCATTCATTTATCTGTTCCATGCTCCAATGTACCCTGTTCTTACATGAGTTTCTCTCAATCTGCCTTACTTCTTAGCAGCTAGGGAGGTTAGTTGGGAATCTGAATCACTTCCTATCATTGTGTGCTATCATTACAAAGAATTCTAATTGACAGATCCTACACCAGTCCTTAAAATAGCTCAGCCTTAGCTTTTTCCACTCCCAAAGGAACAGCCATTCACTATGACTGTATTTCTTTCCTCTAAATCAGCCTTTCATCTCTTATAAAACCCTGTGCACTTGCTCTGTATTTTCCTATTTCCATTACTCTTATCAAACACTTGGTCAAAAGCCTTTAATAGAGCTAAGCAAACTGTATCTCCTTCCTCTTTCAAATACTCTTTTATAAACTTTTTCAAAGAATTCAAACAAGCTAATGAAATGTGAATAATTCTATGTGAAACCGTATTTTAAAATCCTATGACCATCAATTTGTAGTCCTTCCCCCTGCCCCAAACATAGTCTGTGAATCCCTCAGTATAAAATGTAGTATTATTTTATCATCTTTCTTATTCCCTAATACCACAAGGAGTTTTCAGAAAGCACTTGTACTGAAACAAACAAAGCAAGAGCTTCAGTGGTGTGCCCTGGACACCAAAATCCCACTCTTCCTCACTGTATGCTGCTGTTGAAGAACAGTGTGTGTGTTAAAGAAAAAAAAAGGACTGCCTCATCCATTCTGTACTGGGTTTGCATGGCAAGGTTTTGGTAGCGGGGGGGCTACAGGGGTAGCTTCAGTGAGAAGCTGCTAGAAGGTTCCCCTGTCTCCGATAGAGCCAATGCCACCTGGCTCCAAGACGGACCCACCGCTGGCCAAGGCATAGCCCATCAGCGACGGTGGTAGAATCTCTCTGATAACATATTTAAGAAGGGGGAAGGGGGGGAACCAAACCTGTGCAATTGCAGCCAGGGATAGGAGTGAGAACATGTGAGAGGAACAACTCTGCAGACACTGAGGTCAGTGAAGAAGGAGGGGGAGGAGGTGCTCTAGGCGCCAGAGCAGAAATTCCCCTGCAGCCCGTGGTGAAGACCATGGTGAGGCAGGCTGTCCCCCTGCAGCCCATGGAGGTTAACGATGGAGCAGATATCGACCTGCAGCCCATGGAGGACCCCACACCAGAGCAGGAGGATGCCTGAAGGAGGCTGTGACCCTGTGGGAAGCCCGTGCTGGAGCAGGCTCCTGGCAGGACCTGTGGACCCGTGGAGACAGAGGAGCCCACACTGGAGCAGGTTTGCTGGCAGGGCTTGCGACCCCGTGGGGGAGCCACGCTGGAGCAGTCTGTTCCTGAAGGACTGCACCCCATGGAAGGGGCCCACGCTGGAGCAGTTTGTGAAGAACTGTAGCCTGTGGGAATAACTCATGATGAAGTTTGTGGAGGACTGTCTCCTGTGGAAGCGACTCCATGCTGGAGCAGGGGAAGGGTGTGAGGAGTCCTCCCCCGGAGGCGGAAGGAGGGGCAGAAACAACGTGTGATGAACTGAGAGCAACCCCCATTTCCCGCCCCCTGCACCGCTTGGTGGGGGAGGAGGTAGAGAACTCGGGAGTGAAGTTGAGCCTGGGAAGAAGGGAGGGGTGGAGGGAAGGTGTTTTAAGATTTAGCTTTTATTTTCTCATTACCTTACTCTGATAACATTGGTAATAAATTAAACTAATTTCTCCAAGTCAAATCTATTTTGCCCGTGACGGTAATTGGTGAATGATCTCTCCCTGTCCTTATCTTGACCCATGAGCCTTTCATTCTATTTTCTCTCCCCTGTCCAGCTGGGGAGGGGAGTGATAGAGCTGCTTTGGTGGGCACCTGGCATCCAGTCAGCGTTAACCCACCACACACTCATGGCAATGAACTCTGGTATGCTTTAGGAAGTGTCTGTGTAAGCAGAAAAAAACGCTGATCGTTACATCAACATTACTCCCACAGAGGAAAGTGGTGGAACTTCCACTGATTTCAGAAGGGACTTTTGATCAATGCACAGTGTATATCACACACTAAGACTGAAAATGAAAGTAAATGTCTTATGAAAGGTTCAGAAACAATAAAGCTGAAGCATGAGGATATCATGCATTTGAGGGTAGAAATATGATGTTGATTCTAAATTTCTTTTGCATAAAATAAGCACAGCTACAAATAGCTGCTCAAAGGATGACCAGTAGAAACCAAATTCTGTCAGTGAAGTGTAGTGTGAAGTCAAGAGAAGAAAACACTTTAAGAAACTAACTAAAACCATAACACTGTTTCAGCAGAGTACCTCTTATTGTTGAAGCAGTATAATCTTTCTGGGCCTTGCAGATTCTGCTATGTTCCTGGCTAAGAAAATGGTATCAGATGCTACAAATGCCTTCTACCGTGTCAGATGAACTTGGAGACTGCCACTCTCACAGCTAAATAACATTTTGGTCATAACCTTCCACCTGTTTTTCAGCTTCAGTTGTAGTTCTGCAATTCCTTGTGCATAGACTTGAAAGTGAATGCCATAAAAGGCTATAGATATGGGATAGATAGCACTTAACAGAAGAGTTTTAGCCTTGATGCTGTATACACAACATATGCTCCTTCTTCCATCATCGATCCAATTACTGATTTCACAATAGATTTGGAAGAGTACAGCAGTGTTGTAATTTTCAAATTACTGTAGGTAAGAAAATGGCCAAAGAAGTGGACACAAGGAAAGGCTGCCCGTCATTTAGGCTGCCTGTCAGTCTGCCTGCCATCCATCTCTTCTTCGCTGCTGTCTCTTCCTTTTTTCATAACCGAATTGTTTTTCAAAGTGACGTTATAAATTTACTTATCTTTCCAACTCCAACTTTAACAGTAAGAGAGGCAATGCAAGGAAAAAAAAAAAAAAAAGACCTCTGCTTTCCTGTAACAAGTTGCACCTGGAATGGAGAATTCTAAGCAGGCTGTCTTAAAAAAAATGGCATTTCATCCTCATTATTCTTTCTATTTGCTTTTAGTTACAAACATAATCCTTCTCCATTCTCCATGCCATTCTCTCAGCATGCTACATGTACTACCATTCATTTGACTATGTGAAATAAACATGTGTAGAAAGCTACATTTACGTTTAATGCTATTGAGATGTATTTCTGCAAAATAATTACATTTGGATGGCTTCCCAAAAAGACTAGTGAGTACTCCTTTTGTCAGTATGTCCCAATGTGGCTTTTAAATCTTAATTCCAATTAACACTTACTATGCACCTGCTTATGATTAGGCTTAAATTATAGTTTATTTCATGCTGCACTAAAATAATGCGTTATATATGAAGACACTGTCAAGCACACTGAAGTGTCAGTGGTTACCTTTTTTAAAGGGCTAACCATAAAACTCTAGATTTTACTATTTACAATAGAAAATCACTTAGTTCAAAACATCAATTTAGTTATGAAAGCAGGTACAATAATAAGAAACAATTTGTTGTCCTTATAAAATATGTATGTGCTGTTAATTCTGTAGCGTGTGCTACAGATTCCATTTTAACCTGGAGATGAAACAGATGAAAGCAGAGGGGGCTCAGTAATGGCAGCGGCACCTGTTACAGGTAAAACCTGTATTGTGTCATCTGGCAATGACAGAATACACCAAAAAAAAGGAAAACAAGAAAAAGGAAAGGCATATACATAAAATTAGTTCACAATTTTGATCAAAATCACTGCCAATGAAAGACAGTATCATGACGACTACTTAGCAGGACTGATCTATTGATTCAGGTTGGGATTTTTTTTTTTCATTTGGTTTCTTGAGTTTTTAAACCTTAAAACTTTGACTGTCCCAAAATAAATACCCTGTAAAAAAAAGGTTAACTGAAATGTTCTTTAAACTGGCCCTGCCTCATGTAAAAATATTTATCTGGGATTACTCATTCAGACATTTCTTGACTGCTGCACGGCTTATTTGAGGCAATGGAAATTCATCAGACTTTGAGGCCTTTCAAATGCACAGGCAAGTATTTATTGTATCTTTACTTGGCAATTTGCCTATTAAAAGGCCAGAGGTATACCCTGATAATCAGCAAATACTAGGCACCTGTCAGATATAAATTAATATTGGCATATTTAACATGCAATTTGTGAAAACAGGTTAATAGCAGATACAAGAAGAAAGGATGAATTTCTCAGTACTATATACTGCTATCTTCTAAGATATATGAAATATGAAACACAAATGGGACAAGCTATTGACTTTAGGACATTGAATGCTTGGAACTGTTCCTGGGTAAACTGGCAGCCTTCTATCACATACAGAAAAACATGGTAGATTTACATAGCTGCAATCACATAGGCATGTAGGGTTTTGTTTATTTGTTCTGTGGAATTAGGGAATTTACACACAGAGAAAATTCTCCTTTATCCAAACTGGCTAAAAACCCCATGGTTTTAAAAGGAATACAACATCTTAAGATAGTGTTTCTTAAAATCTGAACATTATTATTTTCCTTTCTAATTTTTTTTTAATACTATGTGCCAAATATATTATTTACCTATCTCAGAAGCAGCCACTGTGATGTTGTACCAAGGTGTTTCCTCTCTGTCAAAGATCTTGGCAGTCTTAATGGTCCCAGTACTAGCATCAATGGTGAAATACCTATCTTCTTCTGTGTTATGATCAATGAAATATCTATGAAGAAATAAAACAATAAATAGATTCTCATTGTAGTATGTATCATCCAAAACAACAGAAAGCTACATAAGAATATTACTTTCAAGCTTTTAAAATCATAGAAATTTTTAAAAACCCTAAGAAAAAATCTATATTATGGAGGCACCCAAAGTAACACCATATTTCATTTCTTTCTTAATGTTATGTTTCTTTTGATACGTAACAAGGTTTCCACTGTGAGTCACAAAGATATAAATTGCTAACAGGTGATATTTTACACAGCAGTATACAATCTTATCAAAGGTAAGATACACATATATTTTGACTAAAAAAATCATAAAACGGAAAGGCAGAAAAGAAAACAGAAAGATACTAAGATATTATTCTTCTGCTTATTTGCTTGTCACTGCAAACCAGCATGCTGTCTCAGTACCTGTTTTGAAGCATGTCTCTCTGACATGAAGTTGATGACATGATGACATAAGCTGTTTTGAACATAACCATTACAGAGTTTAGTAGCAGAAATCGCTGATTTCCAGAGCTGCAACTGACACTAGCCTAGAAGCAGAACTAAGCAGCCCTGCTTAACTCCCTTGGCTTCTGGGCACTTTGCCTAGCAGAGAAAGTACAAGCCTTGAAGTGGGTAATGGAAGCAGAGGGAGGGAACACAAAAGAAGAGATTGACAAGACATTTTTTTCTCAAAGCCGGAATCATTTAGAACAGCTTTTAACAAATGAAGCAATTACAGACCCCTATCGAGCCTTCTTCATTAACTTCAGGCTTGATGAAAAAAATAACAAAAAAAATTCTAAGTCTTTTACATGCCATAATTGTTTTTCCTCATAATTTGTCAGCCCCGCTTTCATTCTGTGTATTTTTTAACATATGGAAGCTATATATAGGTCAAAATGATTTATTTGTCCCATCCAATTGCTCTTATTTCTACATCACCAAAAGTGTAATTGCCAGCTAATAAAAAGTGGTGCACATAAAGGCTGCCAAGCTCAAAAAAATTAAAAATAACTTCAGTTTATTTCTCTCACAATGTACTTATTTAGAATATTTGTAGAAAGGAAAAACAAACAAGCAAACAAACATTTCATTGAATGATATATTAAAGTAAGATATGACATGTGAAAAAGCAAAGGAAATAAAGCACTAGAGGAGGAGGCAGGAATTTGAGTGAGTCACCTTAACTGGTCAAAGGATAGGACACTTAGTGAAAAAGCCAGCTAGGACTTGATGACTTAGGTTAGATCTTCCTTGTTGGAGAGAACCTGAACCCACCTCTCCCACCTGCAAGAAGTGTTTTACATTGCCTTACAATATGCTATTTTGGCTTGTGGCACTCAAGATTTTCTCTTCATTCTTCCAGTATTTTCAGCAATTAAAGAACTGTAACACGTCAGGCACTGGAAATCAAAGCAGACAAAACTAGGCTAGAAAAATCTTTCCTCCTTGCCTGCTCTCTGTCTTTCCTTTCGACATCGTTAAGAGTGAAACAGCTCCATATGACTGTGGGAGCTGTTGGAGGGAGAGCAGACCTCAGTTCCCACCCATTTTGTGTTTCTCTGGAATGAGGATTTAACTCGCTGTCTCCCATCTGAGCTACAGTCAGAACCTATGTGCAGTTCATTAACTACCAACATCTGACAATACCTAATTCTAAAATACTCCAGAAGTGCTCAATAAAGACACTTCGGATGTGCAAGATGGCAGCTGAAGTTTCTTCAAATAGGTAACAGGCTCAAACTGTCTCCATACTGAAAGCAGACTAGCAAGATCTTGATGTAGTGGATGTGACAACCATTTTTAAAAATTTAAGTCAGGAAATATTTTTTAAGAGGACATTATTTAATCAGTGTGCCCCAAATTTGATGAAAAAATCAAAACAAGTGATGTTGCCAGAAAAAGAACAAAGAAAATTGCTGAATTTCTAATTGCTGAATCACAGTGGGCATTGCAGACACACTTCCAAAAGCTGGTATGCTTCTCAGTGCTCAGTAAACTCAGGAGATGAATTAAAAGCAAGCTCTTGACCAACATTCATCAATCACTGATCATGACACGCTGAATGTTACAGCTATACAAGAAAATTTATGTTGCTTTTGAGGAATATTAGAATCCTCTGAGGACCCATTACAAAACAAACAAAAAAGGACCACAGAACTATCCTGTTGGCATTATTTTATGTGGCAGTATTGGTCCAGGCTACCCACACCTCGTTATTTGGGAGTCAGGATTTGCTTTTCAATTTCAGAACAATTGTTTTTTCCACTGTCTCTACAGGTCTCAGTCTTTCATGAAGCACAGATTTTCAGGTTCTCCAAGTGGTTATTTGTCATGGAAATGTTTTGAAAGATTGTGCCAATATCAGTGGAGAAGTTGTATCTCCTATGCATACAGTTAGCCTTACCTTTTACTAATTACAAAAACTTTGGAGACAGCGTGGTATTAGTCTCTAAAAGTCCATAAAGCTGCCATGCTTGCCACAGAGTTGTGTTGAGATCTGAACTTTGTACAGAAGATACATGCTTCAGGTGGAGAAATCCCCTCACATCTTATACCTTATGTTTGGCACTATAGGAAACCTGAGCTATGACAAGTAGTTGAAACATCTTGACTACACTACTATTAAGGCAGAAATAACGAAATTTGGTTGTGTTGGGCAAGATGGGCAGTGCACATATACACAAACATCTTTTACATGATGAACTGGAATGCTGACAGAGGAAGCATAGGAAGCATAATTGTCCCTCAGTTCTCTTGGAGACCTTAGCAGGAACCTTCACTGGTAGAGCTTATAATCAGCTATGCAATGATAAAATCTAATTCCTTCTCTCCTACTACAGTCTTGTTTTTCTTGACTCTAGGGGTCTCCTGATAATGACAATAATTATTTGCTAAAAAAAAAAATGCTTCACTGACCTGTTCTTATGGAATATGTACTGCAAATCCAAACCAATTTATAATACAAGAGTCTTGTCCCTGTGTCGTGGTTTAACACAGTCGCTCACTCACTCCCCCCTGGTGGGATGGGGGAGAGAATTGGAAGAGTAAAAGTGAGAAAACTCACAGGTTGAGATAAAGACAGTTTAATAGGGAAAGCAAAAGCTGAGTATACAAGCAAAGCAAAATAAGGAATTCATTCACTACTTCCCATGGGCAGGCAGGTGTTCAGCCATCTCCAGAAAAGCAGGGCTCCGTCATGCATAACAGTTACTTGGGAAGACAAATGCTATTACTCCAAACGACCCCCCCTTCCTTCTTCCCCCAGCTTTATATGCTGACCATGATGTCATATGGTATAGGATAGCCCTTTGGCCAGTTGAGGTCACCTGTCCCCGCTGTGTCCCCTCCCAGCTTCTTGTGCACCCCCAGCCTACTCGCTGGTGGGGTGGTGTGAGGAGCTGAAAAGGCCTTGACTCTGTGGAAGCACTGCTCAGCAGTAACTAAAACATCCCTCTATTATCAACACTGCTTCCAGCACAAATCTAAACTATAGCCCCATACTAGCTACTAGGAAGAAAATTAACTCTATCCCAGCCAAAACCAGCACACCCTGCAAACATTTATTACTGTGGACATTCTTTACTTATTATCAACATGAAGCACAGTGACTACTCTGTGAGTCAGTTGACAGTAGCATAAAAACAGACAGAATTTCAAATTGGGCTTAAATGAGAAAAAAACTTCAAGCAGTAAGAATACTCAGTTGCTTTTATGTGTGTGACTTAGAAAGAATTATTACCTCTCCCTCTGTAACTAAAGTACACAACCAAAACAGACAAATATCTGTCCCAAATATGAAGCTTGTGTAGAAAAGCTGAATTGATTCTGTTATGAATTGTGACTACTTAACACTTCATTTTCATAGACATATAGTAAGAGATGGCGCTATTTTTTTAAATAGGAACACCTTTTTCTAAATCAGTTATTTAAATGTATTCTACAGAAGCTCAAAGCTCTCATTTTAAAGAACTCAGCATTAGATGAATAATTTCAATTGTATTTTCTGTGTCCTTAATGGAAATAAAGTGATCCCAAGGTAATTTATTGTACTAACACTTTTACTTCCAATGGTATTAGTACAATGAAAAATGTTTCTAATTTATCCAGAGTAGTGCTTCCCCTTTGTGTGCTAACTTTTGCATATAGTTACAGACATATTGAAACATTCACAGCTTGACAGAATTTTTCTTGATCATAAATAAATGAGTGGCCCTTTCTTATGCTTTCCCATTATTATAATGTGCAGTTCTCCTCCATTACTCCAGATTCTTCCTTGAAATTGCTTGTGTATCATACCTAAAGCAGCCATTTGCACTGCTGTGGTTCCCAGCCTTCATGAATGTCTCAGTAAAACAAGTTACAGAAGATATTCCCACACAGTAGAAGAACTAGGAATGCTAGTCTAAAGCACTGCTCCCAAGTGCTTTTAAAATATTTTGTACAAGGATCTCCCTTAGTAAAGCCACTAATTTTTGTCACATGTAAGAGGACATTTAGAACAAGTTTCATTGTATTTACAAAGTGCTTAACATTTTAGGCTTTTATAAATATTAGCCACTGATTTATCTACACGTTGAGAATAGAGACCAGCTATATCCATAAATATACCATACTCCAGAGACAACGATGCTTTATTTAGGCTTCTGAATGTATTTCACCTAGCAAAAAATTTACTTTCCGCTAGGTAATAGTGGCAAAGTTAGTCATATCCTTCCCCTCCTACCCTTCCCTCCACCTCTACTGAGCTGCTTTTCAATGCTTTTTCTAGACTGCAAAAAGGTACAGTGCAAGTTTTGAATTTCAAAGAGTTACTTCAAGAGTGAATTTTCACCTTAATTCTATTGATGGTTTCTTCTTACTTAGAATGCATGAATTTAAAAAATTAATTTATAATATTCATTGCAGATATTTATTTACAGACATTTACTCCTGACAATGCTGTGTGAATTAGCATACTTTTAACCATTGAATCAGCACATCTGAGTTGCATGGCACATGTTAATAA